ACAGCTGAAAAGGAGCCAATTGTAAAATGCAGCTTTGCAAACATGAACGCAACAAGTGTAGGCCACGACAAAGCTCCTAGAAAATACCAAGACTCGAGCAGACTAGTGAGAAAGCACATCAATGGCTGCGATACCGCAGCAAAATGGCGTCACTTGCAGCAAGGAATCAAAGGCCTCGGGGATCTTGTTCAAGCATACATACAGCAAACTACATTGCAGCCATGTATCGAATGACCCGAAAGAGAGATTGGGCAACTCAAGAAAGTAGAAAAAACCTGTATGCATCCAAGGGGCTGTAGGTGCAAGCTTTATTAACGGTCGTTGGAGAGGTGGCAACATCTGCAACCTTCAGTTGGCAGAAGATGAAAACCTGGACAGAAGCAGAAGATGGTACACTAAAAACATTGTCTACCAGTTGGCTAAAGGGTTTGTTTTTTCCTGTAAAAGCCTGCATGACAGTACATCACCTATAAGAATAGGTTTTACCCTTTTAACTGGCACAAAAACTGACACCTTTATTCAAGGCATCATGTTTGCAATAACCACAACACAAGCAGTCAAAATGCAAACAAAAGCTGTCTCGGGTGTGGACCAATCAAATTCAAGGACAGTGTATATTATCAGAGTTGTCTTTTTTGTTTGCATTTTGACTGCTTGTGTTGTGGTTATTGCAAACATGCCTTGAATAAAGGTGTCAGTTTTTGTGCCAGTTAAAAGGGTAAAACCTATTCTTATATCTTGTTTCTGGCAAAGGAGGTCTCATAAAGTACATCACCTGATCGCCATTGTTGGTCAACGTCGCAAGGAAGCGGAAGGAATCTATGAAGAAGCGAAGGACGTTGTCACTTTGCCGGAGCAGGAAGCCAGAAGTAAGGTGAGCATCGTACGAGACTTTGCCATCCACCAGACACCTGCACAGACACCGTAGTGTTATGACACGGTTTCATATAGGGCAGGCCAGCAGCAAGTCAGCAGTGAGATCATGTATAATACTGTAACCCAGGCTGTACCAAGCCCACCGCTGCAAACGTAGGGGCGTTTGCACACCCCCACCCATTGTAACTCAAAGCAGAGTCAATTGATGTGCATTTATCTGGCCTACTGATGGCAGATGCAGTCATGAGGAAAAGCATTAACTATGCACCTGGCCCTGCTTAGCCACCAGAGCCAGATTCAGGGGCATTGCAAGGCCAGGCTCTGTTGTACATTTAACTACTGGAAGAATGGCACCTATATAAAGGACCAGAAACATTTTAGGTGCGATTAGGAGAGAAATCTCACCCAGAGTTAGAAATTATTTGGTAGCGGAGGGGAGAGTTCCTGTCCGAAACCGGGGTTGCAAAGCAGCTGACCACGAAGATCCTGAGTGGAACGTGGTTCACCGTCTGCACGCTCGCCTCGACATGCAGAGTCTGGCCCAGCTGGTATACGGTGGAAGGTCGCGCCACACTCCAGTCGTCTTCATAAAAAAAACACAATTAGACATCAAAAACACAATTGCCAAGGCCGAGTGCAGACTCAAAGTGCAGCTCGGACAGTGCTTGCTCACGCCACTGCTTGTGGAAGAATCCCATATAAATCATGGGACCTTTTGCCAGTACCAAAATATGAGAATAGGTTTTCCTTTTTTGGGCAACGGGTGTTAAGATGTTAAAACAAACCGAAACCTTTTACGAGGAATGATGTCTGCATTAACCACAAAATTTGTGGTCAGAAGGAATCATGCAGACATGATTGCTTGTAAAAAGGCTTTAGTTTGGCGTTTTAACATCTTAACACCTGTTTTGTTGTCAGAAAAAGGTGAAACCTATTCCTAAGCATCAGATAAAGTTTAAGGACCTCGGGTATATATCTGGCCTATTCTTCAATGCCAAGCAAACATCTTTAAGGGTTTAAAGTCTAAACTGTCATCCTACTAGCAGCCATTTACATAATAGGTAATCAACGTCCTCACATCACCACTGACCGGTCATGAGCCTCAGCGTGAAGCTCAGCTGCTGCTGCATAACCTTGGCGCTGCTGAAGGGGATCCATGTGGGTTTGATGGCATTGCTGGACACGTTCCCCTTCCTGCAGTGCAAGAGATCAGGCACACATTCTCTTCGAGTACAGGTGGGTGATGCTCAACTGCACCACTTGTGAACGGATTCTTAGTTCTATGGTGTTAAGAGCTTACAAGGCAAGTGAAGATACACAACTATAATTGGAGTAAATTTAACGCAGTGCAAGACGTGGATCAGACGAGACAAAGATTCCAAGTCACTTGTTCAATGAATGCTATGTAATGGAGTACACAGTGTATGTAACCACGTCAGTGCGAGCACTTGCAAGGCGAGTGCCGTGCAAGAATGTTAATTTCGATAAACCTCGGAAAACAAGTTTGAAGCAGGCCACGACAAAACAGGAGCGTGATGCGAACCGTTCAGTAAAGGTGGCTCCAACAACCCCCACGACAGACAGCACAGGGAGACTTTCCAGCAGTGGATTAACGCGATGTCATTTTAGCTGCAGTGCAATACAGACATCGCAAAGCTCAAGAACACGCAACTGCATTAAATTTTAAGACACCGGTAGAATTGCAAGCCGTTTAGCTGGACTTCAAAACTAAGCAAAATGCAACAAGAGACTGCTGGTGAACTCGCCTGGGATAGCGGCAAACGACCGGCACAGCGACGTAGTTTGTGCGGATAATGCCCGTGTTGGACGTGGGGCGGTAGTAGAGGTAGTTCTCGTAAGACAGCAGCTCTGCACTCATCTAGGAAGAGGGAAATATGGGGCCCGATTACCTATGGTGTATGTGGAGTTCAAAATAAACGCAAGCGCCTTTAAAATAACTAAAAAGAAGAACAATTTCCACGAAGAGTATGTTCACCCGAAACTGCACAAAATACGGAAGATGCGGATTTCCGATGCACAAAATGGAAAATTAAAAAAAGTGGTCCAGTGTGCGACTGTGGCCGTCCGTAAGACTATAAAATGATGCAATGCCCGATCCACAAATACAAAAGGAGACATCACAGCGATGTTACACGCAGCTGCTCCCAACTCAGTGGTGTGGCTCGAGCACCAGAAGGCGAAATAGTAGTGTTTGCGCTGCAACTTCATCAGCCATACGAACAATAAGTGGAAAAGTAGTGTATATAAATCAGGAGTGGTCAATAAAATATTGCAGGGATGCACAACGCAAAAAGGAATGCGCAGATTATGTTACAGCAGCATTAGCAGCCAGTTACCTGGAGGCTGCTGCCACAGCTTTCCAGTGCGTAGAGGAACGTCACCGTCCCAGCAAGGGCGTCGCTCCCAGTGACGGGGCAGGCTGGCACTCCCAGGGACAGGTCACTCGCCTGGGCCAGTTGACCCGTGCCGAACAGGTCCCTGCTCACGGTCAGCGTGAGCGTCGCCTCGTCACACACCACACTCACCGTGGCGGAGGTGGTCACTGCAGGTGGCGGTGCCACACGCGAAGAGACGCGGAAGTTACCAACACAGCAAGAGGCAGTCCCCGAGCCTCGTAACAAGCTGCATCCGAGACCCTGTTCACCATCATTACGCGGTTACTTGCAAAAAAGGGATCGTGGGAAACTTGTGGACACGAATAGAAACACGACCGGAACTTGAATTAGTGCCCAGGTATTCAGAACAGTGACGTAACCACCTTGCCGATTTACCAAACCCCTCCTGTACCCATTGTGATCACGTCCTTTAACACTGTAGAAGCATGACAAAACAAGATAAGCAATTCACCAGAGGCAAGACACAGACACCCCAAGACCGCAAACAAAGCCCTCGTGGTCTCCATCGCAAGGGCAGCTACAACCAAGACGTGGAACGGCACCAAAAGACACCACTCGGTGACTGCTCGACTCAGGACTTTTATCCGCGCGCGGGCTCATTCCGTTTCAAGTCATGAACCAATTAACTCCTCCTGCCCACGTGCCTCGTGATTGCGATGCAGCTCCTATCCATGCACGAGTGCTGAGTGCCACCGATTAATTATTAGCGGTTGGTGAAGGTTCACACCAAGACCGTAATTAAAAATGTCCCCCCAAATATATTGCTATAAAAAATTGCTATGCTATGTAAATAAAAACAACAATTTGCTAATCCTTGGCCACAATAGCTGGACTTGTCTTCATATAAATCAATGCATAGATTTCTGTTTATATGATTGTAGTTATGTTTGTACTTTATTAATCCCTAATCTCTGCCATTACATACAATGAAACACGAAATGGTAAAAAAATAAAAACAGAGCAATGTAATACAATACACTATTAGACATTATTGTAAAAAAACAAATAAAAAGTCCATCCCATGTGTTAGTCAATTGTTAAATATTTTAAGCAGGAAATGAGTTTTCAAATTTAGATATTTTTCTGGTTTAGGACCCCCAGACACCCTGGAAGATTTGGTCACTCCCAATGTTGACTCCATGGCTACGGCCTTGGTTCACACCATCCCAACCCTACCCATATTCTGATCTTTGGGGACTGATCTCATCTAATCTCCTTGGGTTTCACGATCAGTATCTTATTGTGATTATTGTTAGTCGACTCCAAGAGACCGGGGTAAAGATCCACAAAATCACATCGGAACCTACATTCACGTGAAATCCCATACGCTTAAAGACTCATGTAACCGCACAGAGATGCATAGACGTTCAAAGAGACCAATGCACTTATAGACTCAAAGATCCACGCATAAACCCATATACATGCATACTCATGCGTTCAAATAGCAAACCAGAGACGTAGACAATGAGCCAATCTATACTGATTAGACAATGAATGGGTGGATCTGCTCTGATAAAATTTGACTGATGAGACAATGAGTTGGTGGATATGATCTGATGAAATCTCGCTGATGAGACAATGAGTGCGTGGATGTGATTCAATCTGGATTGGGATCGCTTAGGGCTCCCCTATAAAAGAATTGGCGTGGCTTAAGGGAGGGGACATGGCCGATGAGTAATTTCGCGATCTTCTGCTGCGAGATGGTCTGCTGCTCCTGACCAGGTGATGACGAAGAGCTTGTGTGGAGTGGTGTTTTCCTCAACAGCTCTGGTTCATTGAGACTGTTTGTTGTACAAGTGAGTGACCGTCATACAGAAACGCATTGCGCTAAAAATTTCAAACTGCAGCTCTGAAATGTCTTGCTCATACCACTGATGATGGAAAGGCCTCAACGAGGGGGAGCTTGAGGATGTTTGTCCTCTTGTTACGAATATGAAGCGTGACCTGTAACGTGCACTACCAGCTCGGCCTCGAGAGAACGACACCGAATGGGAAGGCAGCAGCCATGCAGTGATCTGGTGATAACCAAGGGCTGGCCAATTGCTGGAGTATGATGCTGAGTTGCATTTGTAAAGCTCCTAGACTAATGATTCTGTTTTTAAATAAGAACTGAGGTGTATGAACATTTCTACCAGGTGACCAAAGGTAGCTTTGTTTAGTTCTGTTAACACCAACCCCCCCTCGTGCACGGTGCTGGCCACCATGGGGGATCGGGGAATGGTTTACTCGCTTTCCCCCTCCTCTGGTCTTGGTGGTCACGTGTCTTGTGGTGTTGCCCGCAGCTGCCTCTGCTGGCGAGGCTCTGCCAGTCGCTGGGACCGCGGAACCTGGGGGAGCCGAGTGGTAGGGGGCGCTGCTGCAGCTACATCGCGCATTCTATCAATACCACCACGTGTGTACGGACGCTGCCGTGTGCACAAATAGAATGGCGGCGTCTCGGCGCATTGATGGCTGCTGGCCACGCAGGCAGCGTGGGGGGGGGGGCTAGTTAATAATATAATAATCGAGCGAATGGGGCATTGGGGGACATTATGAACTCTTACGCGTGTCTGTTACTATAATACATTGCGAAAACTATGGATCACGGCTCCATTGCAGCTTTAAGTTTATATTGTGCGAGTGCACAACTGCATGGATTATAATTAAGTGACTTGTGTAACGTTCATGACTGCACACTTACTGTAACTCGCGTGGCAAAATCTTCATTCCGTTTTTCACTTCTATTGTAGTAACGTTTTGTGCACTCATAATTTGACAATTTGCATATCAATATGTAACTTGGCACCCTTTTCTCTGCAATTCAAGAGTCCATTGCAGGGGTCTGCAATCAGAATGTCCAGCACCATGTTTCACATTTGGTACAAAAAAAACTTTCGAACCACTGCATGTGAAAAACGTCACGGAGTCCTTAAAGCATTGTGTGGCTTGGGAGCCGCAGGTTGCCGACCCCTGGTGTAATGTTAATACTGTCGCGTGTCATGAACGTGTTTTTTAAATTGGCGCCGAATTAGTATCGCGCAACATCTGGTAGACTTGTGTGCACAGAAACTTGAATAGACTGATGGGCGCCCACACAACAACCAGCACGGACTGATTTGGATGGCTCCATTAGGTGTAGTTGAATTCTAAATGCAATAACTGCCTCCCCCAGGTCTGCTGAAGCAGCGCCTCTCCTCCACTCCGTTTCTGTGGGATGGAGCATTGTGGTGCCACGTCTGCGGAGCAACTCCAAGTGCCACGATTCCCTCCTGGCCCCTGCACTAAACACACCCGCACACAGTGCACCCACGTAGTGTCCTGACAGGAGAATTGCCTGGGACATCGAGTTTTAATCCGAAGGGCCCCTAGAGGGAGTCCCATGGTTTCCCGGTGCCAGGAGATTGGCCGACTCTTGCAGGATGGGTTACATTGCGGTGCCACTAAAATTTACTTTAAATTGTATGGGCGTGGGAAAAAAAGGCTCCTTGAGCCAACCGCAATGAGTTACTCAGCATTGGGAGGACAGAGGGTGGAATACTAAGCAAGCAAAAGCGCAAGAGCCCTTCTGGGCAATGGATGGCCAGCGCTGCTGCCGCGGCACTTGAGGAAGGACGCGGTAACAAGGGGCAGTAACCACAGGTAGGCGCGTGATTGGTCGTGTGGGCCAAGCTCCATCCCAGCCCTTTGCAGTGAGGGGCTAAGGCCAGGGGAGAAAGGAGGAAACAAGAGCACGAGTTCGCAGGTAAGCGCACGATTGGCTGCGTGGTATGACATCACCCTGGGCCTTTGACGTTTAGAGAATAAGAAGGGGGGGGGCGGCCCGTACGTTTTTTGGTCTCTTGGCTTCAACCTCCGGGCGGTCAAGACCCCCTCTCCCTGCCGTCCTGCCTCTTCGAGCCACTCACAGCATCCGTGTGATGCCAGCGAGTGCTTCCTCGAGACAGTGATAGGTCAAGCCTTCCCTCGACCTCCTCCCTCCGACTCTCTCGGCGTCCGCGGGCTGCCGCGAGTCCAGCTTCGAGGTACGTGGTAGAACGTTTGTACGACTGGTTCATAGGCAGTGTTAGGCTTATCGCTCCTCGCGAAATATTCAACCTCCAGGTAGTGTGTATTTGTGCCATTAATAAACATTAGTTCAGAGTATCGGTGCAGTGTGATTGCTCTGTTTGGGTAGAACCTCGGCGTTGTCTGTGATTTGTGTGTGTGGGGAGACGGTGCGCACGAGAGCGCGGGGCTGCAGCGTCGGTGCGGTGTTGGTAATTTGAGCGCATGTGAGGTGCGTGTGTATTAAAACAAACACGATTCCCGGCGCTCGCGCGCATTTACACAGCGACAACAGCATTAACGGCGAGGCGCGTGTGCAATTTCGCCGGGCCCCCGCGGATCACCTCATCGGCGGGGCCTGGCGAGAGGTGGCGGAGGAAGGGGAAGTGGAGGGGGTGGACGTCGCGCCCTGCCCGCTCGCAGGCAGTTGGGAGGTTGGGCGTCAGCCCCCACAATTTGGTGTCGGGTGGTACGGCTCCCCACACCTCAAAGGGGGATAGGTGCATCACCCCAAGTAAGGTACGCGTTTACCAGCGGAGGGATGATGTTGTGGAAATCGTTTGCCCGAAACCTCACGTATGCGAATGCTATTAATGGCTGCACGGATGCGCAATCACTGCTGCAGCTCAATATTAATTTGGATGGGTGGGCAGTCGACTTTATGGAAACGCTACCCACAAGCATACAAGCGCATTGGGGAGGTCATGCACCGCCTCGGCCAACGCTTCTGTGCGTATGACCGTGAGGAGGCAAAGGCAGCATTAAATGTGCACTGCCACCTATGCCGAGGACGTGCGCTGTTGAGATCATTGACCTCGCCGGCAAGAAAGTCCAGCAGTATCTGATTGGCACGGCATGGTGGCAGCCAGATGCCCGTGTCTTTCCATTTAACACCCTTGTCAAGCGCGCGTGTGGGAGAGATTTGCTTGTAAGCGCACGCAGGTCCGAGGGCTGGGACATGAGCACAGCGTCGCAAGCCTTCTTCCAGAGGAAGAGGCGTTCCCCAGGATGGTGAGGAGGGGGCCCGAGGGTGCCCCGGAGACCCAGTGAGGCAGCCCCAGGATGGGTGGCAGGGCTACAGATCGGCATGGGAGATTGTCAGGAATATAAACAAGCTGCAATCTACAGTCGAGACAGTCCATGCCGAGGTAGGGGGGATAACCAGACGAGTGTCTCAACGAGAAGCAGAGCTCGAACAAATGCGCACTGGGAGGGGAAGGAGTGAGCAAGGGGCCTCTTATGGAGCCACCGCCCTTCCCCGTGCGTGCTATATATGCGACCAACTGGGGCACCTCCGTGAGACACTGTCCTCAGATTGCCCGCACTAGACAAGCACCAAGGTTTAAACACCAAGGCCTCCCTAGAGAGGGGACCACCAAAGGGTACAATCGACATGGTCCCAACCCAAATTAATTGTAATGACAATGGTGGGCACCCCCCCCCCCCCCCCCCCGGACACAGGCAGTAGCCTCACTCGTGAGCGCAACACACTGCAGCGTGATTGGGGTTGACGTGGGCCACCTGCAGGCCTTGGATCGCACACTGCAAGTGGAGCTGGGATGGGACTGCTGGGGAGGGTCACCCTTGATGTCCGTTTCAGACACCAGGTGTACACCCAGGAGTTCTGTCTCGAGTGTGTGCCATGAGTGCATTGCAGGTACCGACCTGGAAAAGTTGGGGCTCAATGTACATCCCCACCAGCGATGTGCCATCGTGGAGGGCAGCGGGGAACGGATTCTGTTCTTGGGACCAGAGCTGGGTCACCTCCGCTTTGAGCCTGTGGCTGTTGCCTTGGCTGTTACTGTTGGCCCCCTCGCGGAGATGCTGTTGCCGGGAGCAACGACCCCCACCGACCCCTCTCACCGACCAACGGGTGAGGTAATGTTACCTCACCTGGAGTTGTTGGCACAGTACGGGGTCGTAGGGTCGGCCACATTGGTAAATGCTGATGGGGGCTGGCTGTTTTTGTGAGGTTTTTAACCCCCACAGTACCCCAGCAATGCTGCAACGGTGCACCACGGTAGCTACAGTGTACCCCTGCATGCGCGCCACTCTAGCAGCTCGTTCGCCCTCTGGGCTGATGATCCCTGCCGCACCGAGGACAACCAGGACCTGATATGGCAGGTCGATCTGACCCCTAGAGCAGAGGTCAGGTACCCTGGGCAGATTTACCCAAGGGAGAGGCTGATCAGCTGCGAGGGTTACTCCGGGAGTATGCTGACATGTTTAGTAACCATGATTCGGATGTGGGCCGGACAGACCTCGTTAAGCACCAAATTGACACAGGTGCAGCCTGAACCATTAAACTCTCTGCCTTCGAGTGGGTGCACCCGAATGGGCCCAGCTTAAAGGGGCAGTCGCGGATATGCTCCGCGATAATATAATCCAACCCTCGGCGAGCCCCTGGTCTGCCCCGGTTGTACTGGTGATGAAAAAGGATGGGTCGACCTGGTTTTGTGTTTTATCAAAAGTTCAATGCAGTTACCCTTGGTGACGCCTTCCTCATCCCCTGCATCGATGATACCTTTGAGATCCTCGATCTAGCGTCCAGGTACTGGCAGGTAGAGATGGCGGAGGAGGATCGGCCAAAGACTGCATTTACCACCCTGATGGGACTGTTCAAGTTCCGAGTGCTTCCGTTCGGACTCGCTAACACACACCCGCAGCATTCCAGTGGTTGGAGTTGGTGATGTTGGGGGCCTGCAATGGGAACGGTGCCTAATTTACCTGGATGACGTTATTGTTCAGTAGGCCCCTGTCTGAGCACTGGTCCAGGTTACAGACGGTGTTCCAACAGCAGATCTCCCCCTGGATGGTGCTGATCCAGGGCGGGGAGAGGGGCCGAGAGACTGTGGTCAATGTCCGCCGACTATAACATGGCGTTTGGCCCTTATGGAGGAGGCACCCGCCTCTCGGGTGCCCCGAATACCCGCACCCCAAACTCTCTCCGAGATTTTCCTAGCCTCACTAACATCTCGTGGGTTCCACCCTCCCCCTGCAATGACGCTTCGCCCAGTTGCCTCACTTGACCCAGCCTGTCCTCATTGCTACAATCATTTGTGGCCATGTACTGTCCTTACACTAGCATAGCTCATGGATTTTTAAAGTTGCTTTTCTCCAAAAGGAAGCCACCCACTTTTATTGAGCATATCAAATTTGATTAATACCAGGATCAAAATAATGTTTTCTACTTTTTTATTGCAACTAAAGTGTGCATTGTAAGGTTGTTTAACCTAATTGTTGTGTACTTGCACTCAGGAAGCGGGACAGTGGCTGATCCGATGCCATGACGAGTAATGTTTATAAGCACTACTTTAATTGTTCATGGGTTGGCCAGCAACAGTCGCTGGGGTTGGTAGGTAGGCGCGACTATTCGTGGTTTCAAAAAGGGGGGAGGGGGGGTAAAATGTGCAGTAATTATTAAAATGCATAGGACCACGATGAGCTGGACTGGGTTTTAAATTTAAATATTGATTTAATCTTGATTTGAAGCTTTCGTGACTGCAGGAATCCATAGTCTCTGGTTCTTTTGATAAGTCACATAGAAAAAATAATAAAAGAGAACACGACGTTTCGGTCGCACCACAAGCGTCCGTCTTCAGGTGAGAAATTATCTGCTGTTGTGGCTTTATATAGGCATGGGAAGGGGGAAGGAGGAGTTTGGCTGTAGGAGTTAGGCACTGGGGGGGAGGAGGAGTTTGGCTGTAGGGGTTCACAGGGGAGAGGGGAGGGTTTGTGGCGTGCATGGACGGGTGGGGCTGGAGAAATTGGCAGTAAATGGACTTGTACTAATCGGACAACAATACACGGGTGGGGGAGTAACAATCATAGTTAAAACTTTACGCAGTTTATCACATCCTTCCAATGGTTGCTCAATCTGAATCCACCTTCTCAATTAAAGTTTTGTCTGTTTGCATATCTGGATGGCTTCGTGAACAAATCTCTGATGGTAGCCCGATGGTTTACATAGCACCTTGGTCTTCCTGAGAGCCTGGCATACGTGTTCAAACTCACTGGCTAGGTGGTGCTGGTCGGAGATGCAACGGGCCCTATGGTGTAGTCTTTTTAGGGAATTCTGGGCTGGATTGTGGTGGTAGTCGGGCTTTAGATAGGAATCTGTGTGGGTGGCTTTCCTATAGACAGTGTTCCAACGAGCCATCGGGTCTCTTCTCGATCAAAACATCCAGGAA